TTAAAACATAACAGCTTTTTCTTCTCTCCATGTTTTTAAAGTCACCTTTTTCCACTGAAAGGTATAGCAAAAGAACATTCCTAGTTGTTCCATCATGTCAGCTCTCTTAGTTTGTAGCCTCAAAAGAAATGAGCTTAAAGTCAGGTGTTTCAATGTGCAGTGTGCTAGTCTCTATAGCGACCTTCCTCCTCTGTCTACCAGGGGGAGTTTTCCTTACACTTATATATCTCAAGAAATGTCACTATTTTTTATTGTTCCTTTAGAATGTAATGTAGCCCTAGGTAGCCACCCTAGAAAAAGGATTTTCACAGTACGATTTCTGCCATTTACTGCATACTGTGTAGCATTTCCTAAAATTTTATCTTCTCTGCCTTTCACCTTTCTGCTTTAAGAAATGGCATGATTGATGTTAATATTTTTCCCTGATAATAATGTATTTTCCTTTGATCTTAGTGTTAGTAATACATTATTCAGTGTTCCTTCTTAATAAAAGCCATTGGTTGTTCCATTACTCACAATAGTTATTACAACGCTAAAGGTCTCGTTCATCAGAATGACTTGCAGAGGCAAAACCAAACCCATGATTTCTCCATGCATCAGGATAATAGCTGTGGTGCATGCAAGTTATTAAACAGTGCTAAAATATAATGTGTGTTTGTTTTGGGGTGGGTTTTTCTTTCCCCCTGGGGATTAACACTAGGGAAAACTTGTGAGCATCATTTCTTTTATTGCATATGTATGCTTGTCCATGTTTTGTTCTTGAAGTCCAAATCAGTGAGGAGGTGAGCCTATTGGTTGTATCCCACTTCATAAAACATGTTCCTTGCAATGACTGATAAAGTACATGAGTTCTTATCGGACGTATCTTTTGGATTTGTGTCACCATCTTGGATGGTGATGGAAGGAGAAATTACGATCTTTGATCATCTCTGCTAATATGAGGACAAGTGGGCACAGAGAGAGTCTAACAGAAAATCATGAAGCTCTAGATCAAGTCTTAGGATTTGGATTCTGTTTGAAAGGTATCTTCTGTAATACTGCGGTATTTTAAGTTCATGCTTATCTGTTCTGGCAGAAAATGGACAAACCAACTTCAGTATAATACAAAGCAGGTATTTTATGTCATGTTAATTGTCAGTTTTTCACAAGAAATAAAGGGGTTCAGGAGAGCAAAAAATAATACAAATAATAGCATTAATGTAGTAAATGGAAACAAGGCCTAGTATATGGAAGAGTTGAGCACAGAGGCAGACAATGAGCTTCTGCTGTCAGAATTGTTCACTGAGCATGGTTAAGTGCTGTATGAGTCATCCAGTGAACACGGTGTACGTAGGGACAGCTGAAGAACATGGAGCTCGTTTAGTGCTCTCATGACACTTCTAAGCCCTCAATTTTCCTGAAGTTTAATGTATTACACAGTTGCCTCTACAAACCTTTTCATTTATCCTGCATAACTTTGCACTAGTTACCTGAATTAGAGGGAACAAACAAGTTGGCCTAATTTGTATTCCAAAATGCTTGCTGCAGAGATGAATTCGACAACTACTTCTACATCATTTAAAGATATTTATGCCCTCTACATGTATTAGGGATTGTATATTGCTTTTGATGTCTAGCTTGATTCTGCATTTGTTGATTAATTTGTCAGTGTTATGACTGCTTTCAGTGCTGTTGCAGGGCTGTTCACTTCCTTTTCAGTGTTTGTATCCTCAGTCAACAAAGATGTGAGGGTCTGGGAGTTTGAATTGTTTCTCTGGGAGGTTGTGGGGTTTTTTTTTGGGGGGAGAGGCTGGTTTGGGTTATACTTTATGTGTGACATCAGCACTGTGAGAGCAGAATGGCAAAGTACTGTCCCAGAGGGGTTGGGAAATGCTGCTGCTGCATTGAGTGAAAGGAAGCAGAGCTGCAAGAGGAAGGAAGGCTATGGAATTGCAAATAGATGACCCTTAGCATCACATTTATGAAGGTGCTTGGGTACTATGCAAATGACCACAGTCTATTTTAATTTTAAGATAATCTAGCTTGATTGACCGTGCTGAGAAAATGGCAGTGTGTTTAAACAGCAATAGTTTTGATGTTTTCTTCCCTGGTAGATTAAGCAGGGGAAGCCACGTGTAGTGGATTCAATTCCGTCATAATCCGTGTATGACGTGATAAATGGGTCTTTGTCAACCCTACCAGCACTGGCTGCATGCATCACATTTAATGGGCTGTTTGGTAGCTTTCTGGGTGGTGAAAATGGAAAATAATCTACACAAGCTTTTCCCTTCAACCCCATGGAGAACATTAAATACCATCTCCATGGAGAGAATCTAGGCAATAACTGTCAAAGATACTTGAGCACCTTTTCTAGTTTTGTAATTCTCTGTGGCTTTTTCAGAATAGAAACAGCTGTAGAACGTGATATTTTGGCTCACCGAAGGGAGAGGGGTTTTTAATTAGAGGCCATTTTCTGAAACTGGAAGAACGAAAAATATATACTTAAATGTTGCACAGGGGTGGAAGTAGAGGATGCTGAGAGATAAAGCTGTGGAAGGGACAAAAGGCTACTAGAAAAATTGAGTGATTTTAGAATTAAATTAGTCTACTTGCTATGTTAGCCTTTAATACTATATTCCCACCTCCGACTGCAGGAACACAGCTTGAGGGATATTAATTAGGAAGACAAAGCAGGTGAAATAGGCAATGTAATGAATACATGCAATGTGAAGAGTAAATACACTTTTCATCTCAATAGTCAGAATAAAAACTGTATTAAACTGGGCAAGTGAATTTCTTTTATTTTCTAACATTACTGTCTAATTGTCCTCCTTATTACTGGGTATTAAAAGACCACTATCATTACAGAAACATCTTTCACCAATTATATTTAGGCTGTGTTTTAGCTAGCAGTGACTTCCTCTTTATGTGAAAAATGGCAATCCCCAGAGGAACAGACTTACTGAGGTGATTCCAATCTGCTGGGAAGCCTTGTGCACACACTATTTGCATCTCATGACCTGCATGCAATGTGCCTGTACTGTATTGATTTGTGCTTGTTTACAGGCCATTCAAGCAAAAAGCAAGTAGAATTCAGGTGGCTAAAAACTTGCTCTGCTGGTAGCAGTTTCCTGCCTTGCTGCACTCTGGAATATTCTGGCCTTGCTGCAGCGTGTTGCTGGACAGCCATGGATTTGTCAGTTCTACCTATGTGTTTTTTAACATTTGCATTAGTTCTAAGCATAGATAACCATGGTTTACAGAAAATCAGAGACGATCACTGGGCTGAAAACGGCTTAAGTGACATAGAATAGGTCATGAATGATTGTTTAAGAATAAAGATTCCTGTCATCTCTTTTCAGAATCTGAGAGAAGTGGGAAGTCTTCAGTATTACATAGTGTGACCAGTACAACTGACACATTTGTTTGAAACACATGTGATACTTAGTCTGAGTTGAGAGATACAAATACATTATTCAGATGTGTTATTGCATAGCAGGCAAATAAGAAAAGGTTTTAGTACCTTCATTAATTCTGTGCATGAGATTTAAAAATGTTCTAATAATTCTGGATCCACCCACTTAGGCTGTAACCTGATGCTTCAGACTGTTGCTTAGGGAAGTGTGAGGCCAGTGCTGCTTTACCTTACTGATCCTTTCTGGCCTTTTTTAACAAGATGGCAATCAATTAAGTAAAGATGCACGTGGAAAGCACATTACAAATGCATTGTCAACCTAAATTCTGTGATCCACAGCATCTGTGTATGGAGCTATTTAGGGTCTTCTGAAAATGTATTTTTAGTAGTTTTTAAAGCATTAAAAATACTTGGCAATACTGGAAAGCAATGGTGACCCAGACTCTGTGGCTGCTGATGTTGCATGTATTTATTTTGGTGAATGTTGAATGTATTCATACAGGATGTCAACTCAGCTGACCAAATCTCTTTTGAAGTCTGAAAAAGGATGTATGGTGTTGTTCTGATAGGGCCCTCAGAAACAGATTTTTTTCCCAATACAGCTTAGGGTTAATTTTAATTAAAACATTCCATATAATCTTGTAGATTAAGAACCAAATTTGGGTCTTGCTGAGCACAGTAGGCTTGCAAGAAAACAACTGCAGCAAAAGACCTTCCATGACTCTAACTCTGAAGCAACTTACAAAACTGAATTTTCTGATTAGTCACTTGGTTCAAGCAAGGTAGTGTTAGTGCAATGCTTTTGATGTGTCTGAAGTATTGTCACATGAGATATCATTACTTCATGTTTTACCCTGCAATACCCTTGTATATTTCTGATTGAATTAAATACTTAAATACTCTAGGGCTTAAAGACCCAAGATAGACACTGTTAGGGTTGTGTTGTGTCTTAGTTATTTAAGGAGGATTTTCACCCTCTTTGGGAGGAGAGAAAACTTCAGTGAGTGAAAATGAAATGTTTGGCTCTCTTCTGTAAGAGAAAATGTTGCACACAGCTATTGATAGTCTCCACATTTCAGTTGCTCAAACTAGAAAGCATGGATGGAAAATGACTAAATACGCTTTCTTTAAATTGTCAGTGTATCTTCAACTGAGGTATTTAGTGGAGAATTTGAGTTGGAAAATGTGGCTTATTTTGTAAGTCCTGTGTTGATTTGCCTTGTGGCAAAGGGCGTGTGAGATATTATTTATCCTTCTCCCAGCACCCATGATCCTAATGTATACAGTGCAGAAGAAATGAAAATGCAAGACAGAAATGATGTTCTCTGCCTAGAATTTTATAGCCCTGCTAAGACGATGAGAAAAGGGCTTTAGAAATTATGTGTAAGTTTTGTGCTTTTGAAAGAAGACTTTTCCATCATCCTGGCAAACAAGTTATACTTTTACGAAGGCATTGCCAACCTTTCCCAAACACCCAATGCCTTGGTGAGCCCAGGAGGTACCTTCTTTCCAGAAGATGCCTAGACAATTTGGTTGTCTGACTCCTGTTGCTTGGAAAGGCAGAGTCTGTCCCTTCATTATCTTCACTATTGTCTCTTTCAGACAAGAAGATCAACATTTACCATGCTGAGATTCGGGCAGCACCTCATCAAGCCCTCTGTGGTCTTCCTGAAGACTGAGCTGTCCTTTGCCCTGGTGAACCGGAGGCCGGTGGTCCCAGGACGTATCCTTTTGAGCAGTGCCTCGAGGGTGTGGGGTACCTGTGCCCTCTAGGAGGAGCAGGAGGAACTCGGCGTGCTTCGGAGGCCAGGTAGGATGCTGCACAGGGTTATTTGGAAAACAGGCACTGGAAGGTAACACGCTTGAGTGGTGTTGCAGAACTGCTGAAAATGGTTGCTTGGCAACTGTGACCTTAGAGGTGAATTTCTATTGACCTTTTCACCACGGAAGATGTATAAACAACCAGGTGCCACTAAAGGCATTTTAAAGTGCATCCGAGGTGATACTGTTTAAATTTCATATTACGCTAAATAACACATCCCACTTCCCTTTTAATAATGTCACTTATTTTTAGATGTGGTAACTTCTTTAGGGAGCATTTACAATTTCTAGTTAAATATACGCAGTTTGTCAAACAGCAGCAGAATCCTGTATGAAGACTTAACTTTTTTGGGACAGATTGCTTTGATTAATTTAGGTAGAAATGGATTAAATAAACCATCTGTATAGCACACAAATTTCCTGAGATAAAAATGAAGTTCCATGTTGTAAGTAAAGTTCTCAGCTTAGAAAGTGTATAGGAACTTGATTCTGCAAGATGTGTATCTCTTGAGTGTATCTTGTAGTGTGGCTTATTACATTCTAGTCAAAACTGTTGCTGTGTAACTTGTGGAAGTGGAATTTTTCAGAAATACTCAAGATGTTCACTTCATTTCCATAGAGGTCCATGGTAAAATGTTAGTAAGAACTCAGGCAATGTCTGAATGTTTTTGGGGAAAAGAAGAAAGTCATCTGGAGCTTATTGAAATCTTTATCTCTCTAGTTTTGTTTCTCTCATAATTTAATGTAGGTTTTAAAATTTGGTGACCTTTAAATAAACCATAAATGTGTTTCTTGTGAAATATGGAATCTTCCTTTCCTCCTGTCGCTTCTGCACTTTATAATCATTCAGTATAGAACATCTTTGTACCCCTGCTTTGAATGGTGTCTGTACTACATGTCAGATCATTTGATTATTAAATGCATAACAAAGGTGCATAGACTTCATAGAAACTTTAAAGATGTTACTGTCTCAGCAGTATATTTCAGTGAATTGAATGAGCAGTTTGTAACTTCAGTTTCTGAAGAATCTGATGTGAATCAATGTGATTTACAGATTTGTTATCAAAAAACTCACCACAACCCACTTTCAAAGCTGTCTAGGCAGTATCACATCAGTGACTGTGAGATGCAGAGCTTGGAACTGCCTGAGCAGTATGTAGACTTACGCATTGTCCAGATCAGAGAGTAAATAAAATGTTATCTGTGCTGTGTGGGGAAGTTTTAAAACCAGTGATTTTTATTTTTATTTTTTTTTTCTTGAATTAATAGTGAACAATTGCATCTTTTGTCAAAAATAACAGTTGCTTTGGATGAAAGCTACGTGTTCTAAAGTTTTGTGAGCGCTTAGTAATGACAATTTAAGGAGCCTATAAAACTTAATTATTACAGGCTTCTTTCCTTCTTAAATAATTAAAGATTATAATCTCTAGTTGTATAGTTATTGCAGACTGTTTGGCAGATACATTTATTTGCTCAGGTTTAGCTTTGTTATCCCATAATGAGTATTGCAGCATATTTTATAGTGTCACAGTGTTTTAATAGCTCATGTGTTGTAATATATTAATGTAGTCTTTGTTTCTCCATTGAATAAATGTCCAGGTAATAAAAACCCTTCCCTTTCTCATTACAAGAAGAAAAAATTAGCAAAGATCTTGATGCAAAGGCTAGAATATGGTATTTTAAATAGAGCAATTTGTAGTTGTAAGGCTTTAAAACGTCTGTATAATGCAGCATTCATCTAAAGACCTGGCATTAACAAGTGTATTTTCTTTCTTTTATTGCAATAATTTTATCTGCTTTGTCTTTGGCACACTTGTGACATTCCTTTTCATTTTGACTTTTCTTTTTTCCTTTAGTAGAAATAAAATATTAATGTGTGTGAATTAGAGAGACAAGGAAATCGGTTTGAAAGCCAGCTCACTCCAGGTGGTGGCTTTAATTAACTAGTAAGGCTGAAATTCCATCTTGAAACAGAACGTAGGATTGAGGTTGTGAATTTGCTGTAGCAGTTTTAAAATAAAGCTATACTCTTGGAAAACAATCAGTCAAAATGGTCCTGTAGCGTTCAGTGTTTCTGATTTGAGCAATGTCAAACCATGATGATTCAGGTAACACATTACAAAGCTTTGTTTATTTCCAGCTGCCAATCTTCTGAATTCAGCTTGATGCTTAAAAGTCAAACTGTGCTGAGAGTAGCCAAGAGTAGGAATAGCAAGGACATGGTATTCATGGTAAGGAAAGAATTCCCCTGTTCCTGGAGAGAGCTGCCTGGTTTGCCCCAGCATTAGACTTCTGTCTATGCATTACACACTAGTTCATGGACTCAGGAACCTGTTCATAATAGGATCCCTTTGAGGGATTACTACAGATTCTTGAGTAGGAAGTAACTGCGATTTTACTACTGAGTAAGGGATATCTGACATTATGCTGGAATCTCTACTGTGTGAGCTAAAATATGCTCATGTGTTTGGCAGCAGTAGTAAACTCATTCACCTCTTTTGGCACAACCAAATGGAGAGGGAGGCCTATACACTTATACAGGTACCAGTAATGTTTTCAATGAAAAGTAGAGGCCCTATTGCCTCTAGGTTGTGTTGTCTTGCTGCTCTGCAAAGTACTTGGGAACATTTGTGGCTCCCTTGAACAGCTCTGTAGTTGTTTTAGAGGAAGTGGCTGTTCAACTGCCGGAATAGTGCGGAATAGTGGAGGGATGTGTCTACAGTCGGCAAATACATTGTTTCTGTCACACAGAAGGCACAAAATGAACTGAATCGGCGCTAGCAAACAGCGTGAGCTAAGCTTCTACTAAAAGAACTTAAAACTATTTCATTCGGATCCTTTCACTTCCATAGTTCAGAACAGAACTTTAGTGTGTTCTTAAAGAAAACCCATCTGCTCTTTGGCATAGACTTTTAGCTTTTTAATATGAGAACAAGTACTTTGTGAATGGCCTACCATTTTATTCATGTTTTCCTAGCCATATGCCATAGCTTTGCATGATTTTGTGCATATCTTCAATAAGTATGAGCTGGTTTATTATCACTTCCTTTCTCATTGCGTTGTGTGGGGTACTTCTTTCATCTTGTGTTAAACATGAAAAATGAATTTGAACATTAGGAGAATCTATGTGGGGACTAGGACTTTTTATTATAGATAAAATTATTCATTTGTTATGCCCTGTTTTTCTTCAGTAGACTAGGTATTGATCTTTGGATTTGTGTTCAGAATGCCGTAAGAAGAGCTAGCACTGAAGGAGCACAGCAACATTTGTAAATTGATTGAATGCACTACGTAATGACAAACATCAGATCTATGGCACTACTATATTATATAAAGCATTTTTCATCAGTTTATTGAATTGGCTATTAAAAAAACCCAGGTTTTCCAGCTGGGAAGAATGAGCTGCGTGTTGTCAGGACCAAGCAATTGTATAGAAATTTCTGGTGAACACTTTGGTTCCTTCAGTATGTATACATATATGTGCGTATACTACATTAGAATAAACACTTTACAATAGCTTTTCATCTGGGATTGATTACCAAAAGGTTTTTCCACTTAAAGGGGGAAACAAAAAAGACAACATTTAACTGTTATATACCGAAATTTGCTGGATCATTTGGTATTGCTATTTCCATAGAATCTAGTGTTTCCCTCCAGAAAGTATTCTGATTGAGGACATTAGACCATATATAAAACCCCAAAGCATCTAATATTGTCTGGCAACTTCATCACTATAAGAAGTTACTAGTCATTATTTGTGGCCGAGACAGTGTGCTCTGAGTTACTGCAACTTGTTGCTTCTATTAATGAGTAAAGAAAAACATTAGTTGAACCATATGCTCCTTCAAGGAATTGATAACAGCCTGCACTACAGTGTCTTGTGCTGGGGTGGGATCCAGGGTCAGAAGTGTAAGAACAGCATCTGCTTTGCTGTATGGCTTCTCCATCATATGCTGTCAGAATTGCTTGTCACTTGAGACTGACACCATCGGTATTGTCACAAACATTGCCACAATGCTTTTCTTTAAAGATTTGCAGTTAGAAGGAAATAATCCTTTTGATTAGCTTTATTTGTTAATATATTTTAAAAGGATTTTTGTAATTTAGTAGAGTCCTGACAGAATTGCCATTGAATATGCTCTGGAAATAACAGTAGTATTCTCTCACAAGTTTGGTTGAAAACCATGGTGTTTAGCATCTATATGAGATTTTAATTCTTCATAAAGTTACAGCTGCTGTTTATTATGATTTAGTTAGTTTGTACACTGCACATTTATCACATCTGTATTTATGCTACATAATTATAAATGTTATGTTTTTTAGCCTATACAACTGTTAATATTTGCCCTAAAACTAAGATTTAGAAAAGAAAATTCGGTTATTGCAGAACATATAAATTTGCATTTACATTTGCATATTGCAATAATGTATGCTGCACTGTTACAACCACACATTATACATATTGAACCCTGTGGGAAAGTATTCTTTAGTGCCTGTTACAGAAGCTTCGTATGCATTGCTGTTATCATTAGTTTGCTGTAGCACAACACTAAGGAGCAGTCATGCTCCTTTGAGTTCTTGATCAAAGAACTAAAAATAAGGGGTTTGGTAAATATTTTGCAACCTAAATATGTTGCTGGAGATAGCAAGGGAATGATGTGGAGACAGAAAACATGGTTTGATACAATAAGGGGTGAACTACTTATGTGAATTTCTCAAAATGTCCAGTAAATCTAATTGAAGAGAGTAGTAGGAAGATGATGAAGTACCTTTGCTGGTGTAGAAAAGACCTCCTGAATGGGAGGACAGGTATAAGTGATGGATCTTGTGTGGAAATGTGGAAGAAGTGTAGAATATATTTCTTCATCATGAGTGCAGAAGAGATTTAGACTTAATTTGTGT